ATGTGTGTATGTGTTATTTTTATCGATAAAAACGTTTTAATTGCGTATGCATGTTCACTTTGAGCAAATTGTGAGCACTGGTTGGGGAAATCTTCGGTAGATTGGGCAAATCGCTAATTGGGCCCCAATTGGGCCAAAATTAGAGCCCAATTGGGAAAAACTTTTGGCTCTGATCGGGCAACCTCAAAAAATTTCCAGCAAGGAAACTTTATCATAATGGGCAACAATTTTTGCGCCCTCAACTGGCACGAAAATCTGCTAGCATCATATAAGTGCATTTTCAGAAAAAAATCATAACTCGAAAACGACGAATTTAAGCATATTGCTACTCGTACTGAAAATAGTTTATACTATTCCCTAATAGACAAAAAAAATTTGAGAGAAAAAAAGATGTGGCAATTTGAAAACAAATAAAAATTTTGTTTATAAACAATAATTAATTATTAATAAACAATTACTAAATTAATTAGTTCACTAGATCGATTCAAAAAGATATAGAAATATCTGCAATTTAAAAAAAAAATCGTTAAAATCCTTGCTTTTTTGCGGCAGTTATAAGCGATTTCATCAAAAGTTGCTATTAAGAGAGGAAAAAAGAAGCGTTCGTACTCAAAAAGAAAAAAATTCATTATTCGAAAAATTCGCATTTCTGAGCAAAAAGAAAAAATACGTGTCTTCTTAAATTGTTCAAGGAACTCACAGGGATAGTTTTATCGCAAACTTAAATTCACTTTCCCCCGGCCTGGGTGATTTGAGATGGAATGAGCCGTATACATATACCTATGTAGATATGAGTTACAATAAATTTATTAAGTGCGCAGTCCTATTGGAAAATGTGTTAATACAAATGGAACAGTGCATAATTTAATTTATAGTTATTTTAATTAGCTGGTAGCCAATTTTCTCGGTAAGAAATTATTGTTCTGTTCGACTGAAATAAATGAAATATTTTTTAAAATTATGCTTATTTTTAAAGAAAATTCTTTGTACATCACTATTATATAAGTGACTTCTGTTATTTATTATTACCCTGTAGGTATTATATTCGATTTTGGTTTTAAAAACAAGGCCTAATTTTTTAAATAAAAGATGTGTTAAGCCGATTTCATGAGTTGTATTTAAAAAAATTTGGCGATTTTTTTCAGAAATGGCTCTATTTTTTTTAACAATCTCGTAGCAACGCTACTTCAAAGCGAACATAAAAACGGAGATCGTGTCAGATAACACGATCTATCTTATTAGCTGATAGAGAGAGAGAAGCAACGACAACGTCAACGTCATGCGGTGGTGAGTTTCCCATAAGATAAGTCGCGCCAGCTGACACGGTCTACGGTTTTACGTCGGTAGCTGGTTGAGCTATTAGAAAGAAGCACTTCAACCCTTTGCCGGTTACAACTGTAGCTAATAGTGCTCTTACAAGATGTGTATTTACATATGGGGTATTCCATGAGTAAGTGAAACTTTGTGTCCAATTATAAGTTACTTATTGAACATGGAATGCTTGATGAAGCAATGCTTAGTACCTCAAATTAACGTATTTTCTAAGAAAAAATTTAGTTATTAGAAAAGTAATTGAATGCGACAATATATTTTAATGTAGAAGGCTCTGCAAAATCAAGTATTTACAAAGTTATTATTTTTTGAAGTGGGGAATAAATATCTCGATCTTTCTTCGTCCCAAAGAAGCGCCATGACATTGAAGAAAAATAGGAATTTAAATTATATAATGGGATGAAATCACTACGGTTTTTCATGTCCCACCCGTGACAAAAAAGTTTTAAACTTCGGATTGCTTAGTTACTTCTTTAAGAATTTTTCTATAATTTCATAACTAGAGTGTGTTTATACTATGCAGCCCTATTTCATTTCTTTTATTATATTATAAGTGCCTACTTTAGATATTTTGAAACGTTCCGCCCGTGACAATCACCTATGGTGCCTAACAATAAAAAAAAATAAGTTTAACGTTTCAAACCTATGTTTAATGCCACAAAACTTTGAAGTTCAGGTTGACTAAACACCATAATACTGTTGATGGGCTAAGCGATGTAGTAAAAAATTTCGCGTGGTCAGCTCGAAAAGTCAAGGTTAACATTATTATCATAGAGACGCCAAAGAATTCTATGATGAGGGTTGCTTAACAACAATCCAAAAGTCAATACTAACAATTACCTCAAAAGTTCCAACCCAGAAAATCTAGAAGTTCTCGTAACTTATAAATTCAATCCAATAAATATTTAGCCTTTAAGTGACAAAGATATATGTATCTGCGTACAAGTACACATTCAAATTCAGATAACTTTTCGGATTAGACATCGATACACAAGATCTTTTCTGACGTTCTATGGTTCCACCAAAGAATGGCTAAATTTGAGCCTGATTTGTCCATGAAATCAGTTTTCCAAAAATAACTCAACTCCAGCCACTCTTAGGGCCGGCTACTCAATGTCTAGTTAACACTAACAGCAGCTTAGACATCGCTGTCGACGTGATAACAGTAGTCGATATCCATGTTTAACCTGTAGTTAGTACTAGCCAGAAATACATAGCTAGTCTAAACAAACTTGAAAATCATTAATGCACATTCGAAAATTCGTTGCAATCAAATGCACCGTGCAGAAGTGCATTTGGAAAATGCATATAAAATTTCATGCGTTTACAAATAATCCTTTCTCCCATGCATTTTAATACATCAATCTGGCGACTTCTAGCTTTCGTTTGGAATAACTATTGCCCCTAAAATAGATCCTGAGGGCAGTACTATATCGTGCGTCTTACAATGACTCTACTGTGATAAAAGTGGGTCAATTGATCTTGTATTTGGCCTCTAACATTTATCATACCTAAGCCCTTTGATATGGATCTCACTAGAAGCTCCATTTCGTGACGAAAATCGTACGTGTCCCACCCGTGATAAAAGTTGTCCCGCCCGTGAAAGGAGAATTTTGAATTTTTTAATAATAAACAACTAATTCTTGTTATGGTTTGTGCTTTGTTAGGATTGCTGGTTCTTTTCTGTATAGTAAAACATCTAATTCAGATTGAAATTTTAAGTAAATTCCCAGACTTTCCGTAAAATATATGTTCTCCAAAAAGCAGTGTCCTTTCTTTGTCCTACCCGTGACAGAAGAATCAGCTCAGAATTTTCCCATATAAAATCAAGTTGGAATATTTTTCGTATTTGGCAATAACGCGTATATTAGTGAACTAGGTGTAGCTTTATCGAAATGTATAATTGCTTAGTACTTTATACTTAAATTTAAAAAAGAAAAACTATTTTTGCTGTACAAATGTCCCACCCGTGACGATGGAATACCCTATATGTAAATGCTACTTTACACTTGCTAAGTGTATATACTATAGGGCCAGGCTGACAGGTGTAAGGATAATAAAAGGATTTGCACAAAACAGGGAAGCACAAAACTGAGTTTGGAATNCAATAACGCGTATAGTAGTGAACTAGGTGTAGCTTTATCGAAATGTATAATTGCTTAGTACTTTATACTTAAATTTAAAAAAGAAAAACTATTTTTGCTGTACAAATGTCCCACCCGTGACGATGGAATACCCTATATGTAAATGCTACTTTACACTTGCTAAGTGTATATACTATAGGGCCAGGCTGACAGGTGTAAGGATAATAAAAGGATTTGCACAAAACAGGGAAGCACAAAACTGAGTTTGGAATTAAAATTAGTATTAGTATAGCCCTGTTGTCGAAATTCGACCACCTCACTTTATCACACACTTTCATTTTGCTTGCGACGTTTGTTAGGACCATGAGCACTTCTTGATTGTCTAAGCTACTAATATTATTACGTGGAGTGATATCTTTTCTGTTAAATAATTTTATAAGTCATAAGAGGAGTAGGGGGGAATAGATTTGTATGAGATTTCGTTACCGTATATAGATAGTAGATGATGAAACCAAAGCAGGCATTCATAGGCTTATACATAAATTGAAATAACTGGGCTCTCGAGCCAGCTATCGGATCTATTTCTCAGGTATATGTATTTCTCTTGATTACAGTAATGCGTATTTTTAATTTGAAGTAAATTGACCATAAATGAAAATTTTGGGAATAACTCGACTCCTGCGCCACCTATCGGAAAAACAAACAAACCCCCTTTGAAACACCTTTCGAACAAAAGAACAATCCTTCAAATCGGTTGAGAAACATAGGAGCAGTAGGGAGGAATAGATTTGTATGGGATTTCGTTAGCGTATTAATATATAGATAATCGAAGTTCTAAACACTTTGGTAAAAAAATTCAATCCTTCAATCGAAAAACGTTGTAAGTAAGTAATATGTATTAATATGCTTTAATAAACACAATGTACAATCTTCTATCTTGTTATTTTTTAAAAGATTATATAATTTTTATATTACATATTATTTATTATAATTTTTATATTACTTTGATGGGTCTTTGATCGGGAAAACGTGTTAGACGTCTTTTTAATTAAACTTTATTTGACAAGTTGACCCCAATCGCCCCTCCCCCAACCAAAATTTTATACTCGCGCTGATGTGAACGAAGTGGAATAGAGATTCAAAAATCAGTACAAATCAGCACAAATTTCCGAAAAATAAGGACATTTGCGTACTGAATTGGGAATTGAAAATTTTCAGTACAGCGAGTGAATATTCAGTACTCTCCTTCCCAAATCAGTACATATGGCAACCGTAGTTTCACTAACAATTTAAATGGAAAAAGATTTTTTATTCTCTCAATTTCCACAGTAAATTAAAAAAAAAATAAAATCATTTTTCACTTAAATTTGCTTTTGTAATATTGGCTGTTAAAAATTAATTGAAGTTTAGAAATATTTTTCGGAACAGCATTCAAAACAATAGTCACGCGAACAGTTGACACTGCGCGGGAATAGAGCTGTTAATGCCAGTATTTTTAATGTTATAATATTGGAATTATTTAATGTAAAGTTTTGTTGTTAAAAAGTTGAATGTTGTACGATTAATTATGATTTTTTTTCTATTACAGTGTTGATAAAACCAACATTCTGTCGCGTGATGAAAAACTAAGAGACGAAAATAAATGTAAACGGTTGCAAAAAAATGAGAGCACTTTTCCAAAGTACAATGAGCATTTTAATAATCCGGTAAGTAAATTTAGTGAATTATGCATGTTTGTATTAATAAAAAAGAAGGAATTTAATAATTATTTTGAATTAAAAATTTAGTTTTTCCCAAACTAATCTAAAATTTAGCTATCAGTACTCAAAATCAACAGTTACTGGAAATTCTTATTAAAGCTGATGCTACTTTAAAAACTAAAAACATGCAAACATGAATATTCAGAAATTAATTAAGAGCTTTTAAATTTGTAGGTGGCGCCCTGGCCAGTGGCGAAGCTAACGAAATCGCAACGAAATGGCACCGTTTTCGTTTCATCGTTTACTGGAAATAAAATTGAGTTAAAACCGGTGGCGACTCAGCTCTTGCTATCTTTTTGTTTTGGTCGCTACACATACAGTATTTGTATTTACGACTTGAAAACGAAACAATCGCAAAACAAAAACGATCGTTATAATATACTCACTTTTTTTTACTGAGGAGAACAAATGAAATTAACGCCAAAAAATTAGTATTTTCAAAACTAAAATGAAAGATTTTAGAATATTGTCCCAACGAATTGTACTGCGATATAATTTTCAACAAGTAAAATAAGAATACGACACTCTCAAAATAAGAACGTTAATATATATTCAGTCAATTAAGTATGAAAAATATTTAAAACTAAAATGTTTTGCATTAGAATTTAAAAAACTACCTAGCTATAATGAAAAACCTTTCGAAAAAATTGTGTTCAGATAAATAAGTTACTTCAATCTTCAGAAAAAGCGATGAAGTATATACTAAACGTGAACGCAAAACATTGTGCTTACATACCGCCCAATTCTTTGTTTTCTTGAAAAATTTTTTGTAAAGAAATTTTGTCAAGATTTTTATCAAGTAAAAGCTTCCTTCGCATTCTGTGTCAATATTTATAAAACTAAAAGCTGTATGATTTCCACATTAGTGGAACTGATTTCCACATGAGTGGAACTGATTTCTACATAAGTGGAACTGATTTCATTGTGACATATGAAAAATATGAATTTAAAAACAAAAAGGATTTTGACTGCCGTAGCCGAGTAGGTAGAGATGTCGACTATAATTCCGGGTGTCGCAGGTTCAAACGCCGGCACATGGAGTATTGAATAGTTAGAAACAAATTTATTAATATACAAAATTTATGCATTTCACATGAAATTTCAATTTGTCAATAGCCTTTTCAATCTTGATAATTTATCAAGAAAAGAGCTTTTGATTTCTGTTCTAGAATACCAACTCTTGATAAATAATAAAAAATTTACAAATTATAAAGATATTCAATTTATCAAGTGCACAGAATCGGGCAGATAGTCTCAATAGTGTACATCAGTGACCGCCAAACACTTTCCTGGGAAACGAACTATATTCGGCCTTTCACATGTACACAATCGGCTTCTTACACGTACACAATCCGAACGTCAACAGAAAGAGTAGCAGAGCAACAAATTTTATTTAGTTGCATGCAAACATTAGGCGAAGCAGGTTGATGACGCATTTCCGTGCATTACCACCAACATATTCTCATTTTTTATTTCATAACTAATACATTCTCATTTTAAGACTTCTCTTTTTGGCGGACACTGGTGTACACTACTGAACTGTTCTCTTTTTCACTGCGCTCGATTTTATGAGAACACTGAAATTACCATTCTCTTTCATCACAAGCACACTACAACCAGTGTTGCCGCGCGGTCTCAAGAAAATGTATCCAAGCCAAAAATGTATCCAAATGTATCCAGTTTTCTTTTTTTACGTATACATCTCATAATTTGTAAGAAACCCAAAAATTTTCAAGAAAAGGACATAATTTAACCCATCCTAAGGACTTGGAATACATGTATCCATATTTTTATTTTTCATAGAATCAAATATTTGTAATTTCAATTTATAAATTACATTTTTTGTGCATATGTATATAGATAGTAATTAATATGTTACATTTGTACCTGTACTCTCTAAAAAGAGCATGTAAAATTACTACAGAAAAGTATCTATTTTTAACCGACTTCCAAAAAAAGCAGGAGGTTATCAGTTCGTCGGAATATTTTTTTATTTTATTTTTATTTATTTTTTTTATGTATGTTACCGCATAACTTTGGACCACGTCAACCGATAATTCTTTTTGCATCGGAAAGGTAGTGTCTCAGAGGTGGTCCCATACTAATCTGCTTAAGATCCGATCAGTGGATCATGAGATATATATATATATATTTATATATATATATATTATATGAGAGTTGAAGTCGGTTTTTTTTTGCTAAAAATTACTTGTTCAACAAGAATCTCTATAAATATACGTATAACATGTTCAGGATTTGATTTTGAACTTGAGATCTTTAAAATATATACATAAATACACATATTAAATGTTTAAAATTTCAAAAATTTTCAAACTAAAAATACATTTCCTACTAAAAATAAACATTAGGGGCTCACATTTACTCTATTTTAAACTTTTAATGTGTAATTTTCCTCTCGCGACAAATGTGGTATTTAAAAGTAAACAGGCAATGATTGGTTTTATTACACGGTGTGCAAATTTGCACACCAGTGTTGCCGCGAAACATTTTTAGTGGTAGCTAAATTCCAGCTTAAAAAGGGCTAAAAAAGAGCTAAAAATCGTTGTTGTGGCTAAAAATGGTAGCTAAATTTTTTTACCTACATCTTATATATAAAAATAAGTGCACGTTTTTGGTGTGACCTCATAACTTGAGAACAGCTTCACCGAATTCAACCAAATTTATGTGGCATATTCGATGTATCATGCAGATGGTTTATGCGAAGTTTTCCCGAATTCGTAAGAGGGGGCGTGGCACCACCCATACTAACTAAAATATAAAAATATTCAGGCTATCATGCATATGGTTTATGTGAAGTTTGCCCGAATTCGTAAAAGGGGGTGTGGCACCTTCCATACTAACTAAAATTTTGTTGTTGTATATCTCTTGAAATATTTGTCGTAGAGTACTGGAAGTTGGTATAGAGGTATAACAAATAATTCCATACTCATGGATAAAAATGGGCGGTATTGGAAAAGAGGGCGTGGTACCTCACATCTTATATATAAAGAATAAGTGCAAGATTTCAACCAAATTTATACGGCATAGTCGGGCTATTATGCAGATGGTTTGGGTTAAGTTTCCCCGAATTCGGAAAATGGGGCGTGGCACCACTCATACTAACAAAAATTTTCTTCTGGTATATCTCTTGAAATATTTGTGGTAGATTACTGGAATTAGTAGCTATACGTGGCCTGTTCAAGAGTTGGCATTCCAAATTGTTTATTTATTCATACCCAAGATGGAAAAACAAAAAATGTTGTATATCCAAATGTGTTGGATTAAGATTTGAAATAAAGAATCAAAAATTTTGAAATAAAACAAATGATAAATTTACATATAGAAAAATTCTAGGACTTTTCATTCGTTTTTCAATATTTGGTGTAGAGAAGCACTGCTAGTATAAATATGTAAGTATACACGCAAACATTTTCTATAATTACTGGTATAGAAAAACAATGAACTCTGAAAAGAATTAATATTTTATTCAACAAAAAAACTTTTTGTGTAACACATAATTTAATGTATAGTTAAATCGTTAACGGATACGATAACGGCCCAGAAACGTAAGGAACATACATAGACATATGTTTACTTGCCTTAAAGGAAAGGCGTTCGCTTTATGAGCGAAGAGTTAAATTCATGAAAATCATACAAAAAAATTTTAATGTCAATGATGAATAAATTTTAAAAAGGGCTAGGGGCAATTTCAAATTTTTGTGGCCAAAAAAAAAAATTTGGTAGCCAAATTTAGCCACCAAAGGGCTAAAACGGCAACACTGTTGCACACATTAAAAGAGGAAACTGGTTACCTCTCTTAATATGCCCAAGTAAACAAATTTTTTTAGAGTATATTAAAAGTCTTCAGTAAAATTCATACAAATTTCCTTAAATAAATCAATATACGTTTTTTTTTTGACAGAGTATTTTAATCTACATTGAGATCTCCTTTCCTTTTAAATTAAAAGATAAAAATATGTGATATGAAAGAGATTGCTACAGAAAGAGTATATATTTACTTTAAAGCATCCTTTATAGCTAATTAAAACAATTGCGCGGCGGAGCAACGCGATTGTCTATTGCAGTGACGAAGCAAATTTCACTATTTCATTTCAATTTACATCATTGTCAACTCAAATTCAATGGTGTACATCAGTGATTCCCAAAGTGGTCCATGTGGACCCCCAGGGGTCCACAGGAGGCTCGACGGGGGTCTACGTTGGCGTGAAAAAAATATGGGGGTCCATGATTTGCAAGTGGGGGTCCACAAAAATGTGTCTGGTTTGAATAGTAAAGAACCAAAATGGTTACTTGATAGCTTCTTTATTTAACTAAATTTTTTTTTTAGTGGTGTATTTATAGTGCTCTTGACGTACTGCTGCACTTATTGTCACCTTGTGTTTTCATACGTGGAAAAGCCTTAAAGGCCACCTGCAGACTAAAAGAACCGGACGTTTGTATAACACTGAGTGGGGCGCGGCGGAAATTGCTGACGGCCGAGATTTAAGCACATGTGTATTTTCCATGCTACAAGATAGTACGCCACCATTACCTTTGTTAAAGAGATTCTATAATGTTGAGTTCCTTGAGACTGAATGCTGGTTTAATTCCATCACTGAGACCGGACTCACACATTGTTGAATCTGCAATGATGGCTCCAAAACTGACTCTGGGTCATGATCTGGGGTCTTTTTCGAAGTTAATGGATATAACCCAGCAAAAAATCGGTAATCGTTTTTAGTGGTAACGTGTTCTAGAAGGCATAGCGTTATAATTCCTTCGAATTTTTTCGCTTCTTTTAGGCATTGCCGGTAATGCAAAGTAGAATGTCCTACAATATTTTATTCATTTCGCTTCTTTGTTTCATTTCGGGGAATGCAAAGTAGAATGTCCTATAATATTTATTTTTTAATTCGTTTCTTTGCTTAATTTCCCGGAATGCAAAG